TCACTTAATTTTCATATAGACCCGTGCAATAAGTAAACGAAAAAAGCACGGGTTGTTACATAAGACCCGTACGATAAAATTGTTTATCATTCGTCTTTTTGCATTATATAAATATTTATTCGACCTTAATCTTGACCTTTGTGTTTATATAGAACTCATTTCTGGTTAGTTTGATAGTAAATGCGCACATTAATTTAACAAATTTGGTTGATTGAAAATGATTTTTAGCTATGAAACTAAATTAAGTGAAAATCCAAATTCCTAATCCAAAACTATGTAGTAATGTCATCCAAAAACATGGTTTGAACCAGTCCTACTTCCAAGCTTCTACCCACTCTTCAATTCTTGTAACATTACTTTGCATGTCCTCTATGGTATTACTTTGTAGCTCAACTACGATTTCTGCCAGATATGACTCCCTCGCTTCTTCTAATATCACTTGAAATATTTCACTATCAATATTTTCCGTGATTTTTTTTTGTGAATAACCTCTAATTATTTTAATAATAATTTATCATAATCAAAATTTTTTTCATTAAAGGTTTGTGCAATCTGTACCTAAAGAACATACCGGCCTTTTAATCGATCGTACAATATCGTGTTATCAGTTCTTAATACCAGAACCAAATCAAACCAACGCTCGGGAAATACTTCGCAAGAATGAAAATCCACTATATTTCCACCATTTGATAATGTGTCTTCTAATTCATCAACAAGCTAGTAATATCATCGTGTTCTATTTTTATTTTATATAAAATAATAACGTTTTTTTTTTTACTTCAACTTAATTACCTTATCGTCATCTAAAATCCAGCTTTGAAATTCATGATCAAAACCTTGATGTAATGATTTTTCTTTAACTAATTCTCCTACATTTATGTGTAATAGACCCGTTGATTCCGATGCTAGCTGGCTTAAAGTTGTCTTACCGGTTCCTGGAGTACCAGTTATAAGAATGTTTGGTTTTTTGCTACGTAAGAAAAATAATTGTAATTACACAAATAATTATATAACTATACAAATTGACTCGGCAAAAGCTTTATATAATACCGTTCTTGAGTTCCTTGTTCAAGATCTGAAGAAATAGACATTGTAAGATACGCTTCTCTAGCAAAAAATGATAGTCATATG